TGGTGAAACCGATGACGATAGGGTGGGGTAATTGTAATTGTCATGTTGCTGCCGATGTGCGGAGGGTGTATTCGAGATATTCGAGCCGGAGTAGAGTGATGACATCGATGAGTCCAATGTGCGATGACGTTCCATAATTTAGTTTATTTTTAGTTTTGCAATATTGCAACTAATGGCTTACGACAGCCAACAGCTGTGTGTTGTGTTGTTGTTGTTTTTGTTGAGGCGGTTTTTAATAACGCGTTTCTGTATGTGTGTGTGTGCGTGCGCTTTTCTTGTTCTTATTGTTGCCAGTACGGGTGATTTTCTTTGCTATCGATTGCGGGCTTTGCTTGTTGCTAACTTTTCTCTTGCTAGTGTTGTTGTTTTATACGTTCATATCCTTCGCTGCTGCCAATGCGATATGTTTTCAAAAAAAAATTTAGCGGCTTTTAAAAACAAATCTGATCGCTTTGAACTGTTGTTTGTAGTCCTCCTTACATTTGTACTTTTTATTCGATTTTTTACTCTCTCTTTATTAAAAACAAGTTTTAGCAATTATTATTTTTTGATTTCTGAAATAATTTCGTTTTTGACACTTGTAATTAGATATATTTTATCGGTATTTCATTATTTTTTGTTTTGTATTTACAGTTCGTTAATTTTTCTTCGTTCGCGTATTACAATCAATTTTTTAGACAAAAAAAAAAGAAAGTTCGTTAAAAATTCGTTAAAATAATTTAGTAGACAAATTAATCGTAGCTGTTGTGTTTCCTCTTTTTATATTCGAAATATTGCACTACATTTCTAATGTTCGCGCTTTCGCCGCTCTCGCACGTCTGTCTGGTATTCAGCAGCTACCTAGCTGCCAGCGCTAGCTCGTCTAAGTGCTCATTTAACGAAACACACAAAAAACAAAAAACCAAAAAATAAAATAGCACTCAAAATCAAATGCTATTAACACAAAAACATTCGCATGACTTCATGCTTCTGAAAAAAATAAAATAAAATAAATATTAAACTTAAATACACTCACTTTTTCACGCTAGCTCACATTCTGCACACGTTTGCACCTTAAAATTATTTTTGCACGCTGAGCGCCAGCTATACTTTCATACGTACATATGTATATTAGGATGGTAAAAAAAAAATTAAAGTCGGACTTTGATGCTCTCACCACCTAGGATTTTTTCTATGCACCTGTTTTTTTTAACAAAAAATTCGCTCAAAGCCTGGGAAAATATTTCTCAGAAATAGTATAATAGTATTCGGAAAACTCTGTTTCTCTTCAGCAGACTTGCAATAATAACGTCCAATTATTTATTTAGCTATATTTTAATATTAACTATGTTTTATAGGTCGCCTAAAAACCCCAAAAAAAGCGTTAGTATTCAAAAGTGTCAAAATAAGAAATTGGGTATTACCTATTATTGGAAGTCTCCAGAGAAACAGATATCTTCGCTCGAAAAGTACTAATTTTCGAAAATTCTATACCATTTCTACGAAAATTTTTTCCCCCATACAAAATATGTACATACATGGAAAATTTTGAGCGACCTTAAAATATTTTTGGATTTCACCTGCCTTTTTGGAACACCCTAATGTGCATACGCTAAAAAATACATACTTATATACACACATTTCATGTATACAAGCGATCGTCATCACCGCATCTGGTCTTTGCTATTGTGCTCATCGCAACACATATGGCATCACCATTTGTTTCATACAAATGTGGCTGCATACATACTTTATATACGTACATATGTATGTTCTAGTATGAAGTTCACCCAAGTGAGATTCTCACTGAAGCTCCCTAAACGCAAACAGCTCCTCAAGAGCAGCTACTGTTGCCGATCTTTCAGCGCTTTACTCTTGCCTCATCGAATATTTTGTTTTAGCCACTGTTATTGCTTTAGACGGCGTGCTATTTGTTTTCTTTTTTTTTTTGTTGAATTTTTTTTGGTATTGTTATTTTTTCTTCTCACTAGCAACATTTATTCTATTTTTATACAAAGTATATACATATGTATGTAGCTGTCGGCGCGTACTTTCTTGCCAACAATTTTTACACAAACAAACGCCGTGTAGTTGCGCGAATTTATTAGAAACAAAACTGTGTACAGTTGTTTAATAAATATTCTCGATTTTCTAAGCTACATAAATTTTGTGCATATACTTGAATATCGCAGCTAGTAACACCCAATTGGGAGGCGAACAGGATATGAAATAAAAATATACAGTCATAAAGCTGTCTACAGAATTTTGGTTAGATGGTCATTCATATTTCAATTCTTCAAAGGAGAATACGGGTCCTATAAGCCCTTTATAGCCCCCATTCCTAGTACCAAACCTGTTTGTGGCTTCTTAAAGAAACATTTTGAATAGGTCATTTGTTGCAACTTGAAGCCAAGCTGGTAGCAAAAATCTTCAAATTACATATTTAAAGACTTGCTCTTTGCTCCATTGAATTGAATTACTATGGTCTCACAGTGGACTTAACATGGAATTATATCTCTTGACATCGTTCGCATATGGACCCGATTGTATATTACGGGCGATTCAGATTTTGCACATAATGGTATCAGACCTAGCAAATCCATCGCTAGCCATAGTTTTACAGTGCGGCAAAGCCAACTTTCGGCCATCGAAGCCACCATGAGTGAATTCTTCGCTCAAGAATTGCTGGGAGGGGTACAGGTGTTGGCTTCAACCTTTTCATCGACTTTAAAGCCGCCGATGAAAGCGAAGGGAGAAGTTGGCTTTTCGACACCATGTCTAAATTGGTCATCCCCGAAAAATTAATACGGTTGTGTAGTTCGACGTTGCGCACAATATTGGGCTCCGACAAAATGAAGGAGGAGCTGTCCATGTCGTTCGAGACTAAATGAGCTTTTTGACAAGGCGACCCACTGCCGCAAGATTTCTTCAATCCGACGCCAACTCGCAGTGGCACTCTATGTAGCAAAATCATAATTCTTCTAGGGTATGTCGATGATATTAGTCTCAGCACCACAGCCTCGAGCGCAGTATTTTCCTGCTTGGAGGAGCCGAAGGAGATCTCTCTAAGTGAACCTCATTGGAACACACAAATAGGGTTAGAGTATTAAGGCATACCTTTATGAAGTGAAGGACTTTGTAAACCAAGGATCCAGCAGCATCAAGAGTACTTATAATGCCATCTTGGAGACCAAACAAAGAATAACTCCTGGGAAGTGGTGCTACTTTTGTTGACCAATTGCAAACCAGAGCGCTCTCTTGTCCAACAAATATTATTATATTACTCTCAGTTAAGTTAGGTTGCAGTGGCTGCTTTCAGATACACCAGCACACTTATACCCATCATTGGGCCCGTTGTGATACCACAAGGGATCTCGTAAACCCCCCTCCTACACAAAATAGAGGGTGGAGTTGGCAAATTTGAGAAATCTCTTTATCTTTATCCCCGCTATATTTCTCAGGGCTTTAATAGCTCCGGCGCCAGTCTGCTCCTTCAGAGAGCAGCTCATGCAGAAATCATCGAATGGCACCCAGAGTCTCTCCGCGTTGCCTACTAGTATACCTCTGTGTCCCGTCACCCATACCAAGAGAAGGGTGAACTGCTCTGCCATCACGTTGAGTGATCTGCGGCAACTCACTACAGTTTCCAAGTTGCATGTGCCAGAATCCAGAGCTTTTAAAGCCGCTTGGCTGTCTGAAAAGATGTAGATGTTATTTCATTCTACTGCTTCTATCCTTAAGCACTCGGTAGCCTCGCCTATGTCCGCCAGCTTGGCTTGAAAGATATTACAGTGGTCCGGAAGACGGAATTACTTTGAACTGCTAGTTGTTCCGAGTACACCCCACCTCTGACCTTGTGATCCAATTTGAGTCCATCAGTGTAGTCCCGGAATGCTCAGATTCCATTGTACTTATATCCTTTGTCGAAGGTCGTTGCCGGCACGCAATAATCTATTATTTCCGGCAGACTAAGCCCTTCCAGCATTGAGGTATGACGGCAGTGATTCGCTTTTCAGCTAGATAGATTCCGCAATCTAACCATAATGAGCTTGGATAAAAAGCTAGCTTGGTGAAAAGATTATTATACTCGACACATATTTCTGGACAAGGGCACCCACGAACCACATTTGCTACTGCTTGACCGAGCTTCTCCAGTTTGTGGTATGTGCCTCGATGCTGTGAAGCAGTGAGGAGAAATCCAGAGTTTTATGACGCCTCCGAACGGTAAATGGTCTCAATGAGATCCTCTTTTTTACGGCGGAAATGCCCTCGGAGGTTTACCATTTCTGCCAAAAAGCGACAGCTTCTGGACCTACCGAGTTTTACTGCGCACTTTTAACCACTCGACCTTCTGACTGAATGGGCATCATTAGTCAAATAAAATCAAAGTATGCCTACACAGTGGGTCATGGACACTTTATTGGTCTGCCATGGAGCTCCGTTAGGCGAAAGTACTATATCTAGATAAAATACGAAGCGCAACATTACTGAACAAATACGGAAGGTAAAGGCAGGCTAAGTCCTTCATTCCGGATACATGTATCAACAAGGAAAACCGAAGAAATCCATCGCCTTAGTACGCATGAAATAAGAATTTTAATAGGTTTTCTGACTGGTCACTGTAGAGTAACGAAACACTTGTCAGACATTGGAGTGGTTAACTCTAATCAGTGGAGGTTGTACAACGAATAACAGGAAACAGCAGAACACATTATGTGCTACTGTGTGCCCTCACTGGGATCTGACTACCTAGGACCACCATACCAAGAAGCACACGACTTAAATGGCATTCAGCCAAAGGACCGCGTGAGATTTCTTAGAAATACGTGGATCAAATAAGACCTTTACTCGCATAGAGGTTTGTTAAAATAGATCAGTTCTGTCGCGGTAAATAAGTGACCTGCTCCCTCTTCTAGATATAATCTAATCTGTACTGGCCTTTAGTAATTTTTGCTTTTCCTAACGCATCATAATCTCCCTCTCTTTACTCCAAAGACTACAATTGGTTTGAAGCAGTTTTCGTATATAAAGTAAATGGGTGAAGTAATAGCTCATGCAGGATAGAGCTGTTGTTTACTAGACTACAACAACTCTTTGTTTCGTAAACGTGTTGAATCGCCGCCCTGAAAAATGTATCAAAGAATCTAGGTCATCCACTTTTTACCGTAGCCCTATTTACATTAATAACTCTGCTAAGGCTTTGTAAGTTCTCCAAATACCCAAGGGCGAGCGAAACCATCACTTTTTTTTAAAGCCGAGACAAAACAACGTATCTGCATTCATCAAACAGGGCGAACTCTGCTCCCACGTAACTGACGACAGTTAATCTTCGCAAAAGTACCTAGAAGACTTAATTCTCTCGGGAACTTCATCAACCCGATAATGATTTACCTCATGCAAAGAAGTACTTCTTTGAACTAAGCATCAATGCAATAGAGCATTAAGCCCACTCTTGTCGTATGTCTAGTACATGGCGCACAAGTGCGGGACAATGACAGCATCCGATAAGGTGGCCCTTGGAGTACTTGAGAGAAAGGTTCCGAGAACGATGAGCTGTATGAGCTTTACAAAGCCATAGAAATAGTCCAGCGAATCTCAATATAGC